TGAGATTACTTCCTCTCGTTTACTAGTGAAAACGGTAGGAAAGAAACTCCGAAATCTGACAATGACGAACATTTAGTGTAACACTGTAACCCATTATATTTGTTCCCATACTCTACTATAGGGATAACTATCAAAAGTGGCCCGTGAGAGCTCAAATTAGGGATAATCCAGAATGTACGTCTACCGTTCGCTGTGACAAACCAATAAATTTGGGGATTTTAAAAAATGAAATCCGCTTAAAATGACCCTAAAATTCCCTATGGACAGCTAAAACCAGTGCTTAACACTACGAGGGTAAATGACTACACCCAAGGAGGAATTTGAACTATGACTGTCAGCATGACGTTGACGTCAAAATGGTCCCTCATTTTGACGTCTTTCTGCACTCATCCTAATGTCATTGTGACCAGTATTTGACTTATAGACGTCACAATGAGTCACGCTGACAAAAGGATGAGTGCAGAAAGACGTCAAAATGAGGGACCATTTTGACGTCATGCTGACAGTCATGGCTCAAATTCCTCCTTGGGCAGTATTAAGCGTCATTGAAATCTGACTGAATCACCGGTAAACCTTCCTTCACCCCTCTCAATCTGACCCCCTCTTGGCCTCTAGGGCACGTGGAATGTGCACAAGCTCCAATGCCGTAAAAAACGAAATGTATAATAATAATAATAATAATAATAATAATAATAATAATAATAATAATAATAGTAATAGTCAATGCAACTATTCGCCAAAGCTTCACTTCAATTATCTTTCTATCGACTTGAAAGAAATCTGCAGAGTTAAAATGGAGTCCAGTTTTCCAAGATGCATATGTACTAGTACTGGCTTCTAAGTACTTTTGAAAAAAGGAACATAAAAAGTAAGACCGATCTTTAAACCGTTTTTTTTTATGCAGGAAGGCACATCCTGGAACCCACAGGTTTCTGACACGGAATGGGGTCTTTGGTTTCTTGAGCTGCTTGGAAACTACGCACAGAACCTTGGAAAACAGGACATTTTTGCCGTAATAAGCTAGTTGAAATCCAGAATAACTCTTCTCAAGGCACAGACTCCATAACTCACTAGTAAAATTCTGCTAAATACAAAGAATAAATGCCACCAAAAGAGGTGAGGAACTACAGTACAAATACGTGTTCACACAAAAGCCCAATAGTTTTTCTAGCTACATGTCAACGATATGTGTGGAACGTATACGTGTTCATCTACGGTAAAAATGTGAATTATACGATCTATATCTAGACATATTCGGCAGAACCGTACTACTAATTCAAGGGAAGAAGGATATAGTGATAAACTGCTTTAAATTCTTTGATTACCGGAAGTCAAAACATGAAAAAAGGCCTAATTATGAGGATATGAGGAGTGATAAAAGGAAGAAGAAATTACGAGGAACCTTAAGTTAAAGCCAGCACTACTGCATAAGTGTGGACATTTTACAGCATTTTGCAGACCCCACTGATATGCTCAGATTGCGAAGCCAGTTTTCGACTTATGCTGTACCCGGTGAAGGATCGCTTTTGCGGGAGGGACGGTGGGAGAACGATGTAAGCGTGTAGAGGACGCGAAGAAGGCGATAATCTAAAATAAACGTCATTTTACTAGTTTTTAAGTATTTCTTTAATTTCAAGTAATTCAAATTCCGCAATGAGAGTTGTAAATAAAAGGCGGTACGTCGTTTCAATATCAACTTTTGCTGCTGGGTCACATCGTCTACTAACCGGATATAGCACAAGGAGAACCGGAAATCAGGTACTATGGCTGGCGGTCCTACGAAAGCTCGCGAAACTATCTGAACTCTCCTCTGTCTGTAATAAGCGACATTGAGCTGTAGCGCTTTTTTAAGGCACCATTCATTTTAATCTCTATTAATATTGACTCGAGCGCAAAGAAAACGTGGAACAAAGAAGCATTATGACATGATTGACAGGAGCCGAGCAGTGGTTATTGGCCGTAGGGTTTAGGTTTTTGAAATACCATAGCAAAGAAGAAAAGGATACACGTTCTATATGAATTTGCCTTTCAACAGTCTACCGGCTAGCAATGGACCTTCAGAACCACTTACCATCGTCACGTCATCAATTTTTGAGATACTTCTTACAAAAATGTTGACAACCACTATCGCGGGCCCATCTACGCCGAGAAAGAAAAGTGTGATTATTGCGTCTGTCCGATTTCCTAGTCTTTACGCAGACACATTTTAAGAACATAGCTGTGGTGACTTTTAGAAGGTTAAAAGACAACATTGTTTCGGCCAGCTGCAAGTGTAGTTTACAAAAGGAATTATGTTGAGCGTTCAGGTCGAGGACTCCACGATTATGCCGCATTCACTTTTGTACGAGTAAAACATTGGTAATCGTGCAGTAATAAGTCATAGAATGAGAGCGTACTTTTCACATAAAAATATTTGGTTATGAACACATTGAGTCTTGCTAAAAACTGTGCTTAGGCTCTCTCAACCACCAATCACCCATAATGAGGCACGAACATCTACAAAATGAGTGATGTAGGTAATATGGGTCTCACGACAAGAGCGCGCCAACTCTAAAATAAGGAACTTCTTTTTACGCGATAATACACACTCATGCAATTTATACCTAAACGGATCGTTGCATATTTTGTCATCAAAATTTCCTCAATGTAGAATCATATAATGTGATATTCACATTAACATTTTCACTCCCGACAGCCTATGTGGGGTAGCATACCGAGTTGTGAGCTTTGGATGAAATTCCATCTGAACGCAAATTTGTGCACTGGTTTACCATACTGCAGGGCTGTCTCTGAAATTCTATAAAAGTGTGCAATTGACAAAGCTGTGAGATCAAAATTCACATGCCTATCTAAATGGCCGTTGCCTACACAACTACTTGCTGCTTGCTGTTATTCGCACCACTTTGTCTTACTCCACCGCAGTAGAATAACTCCTTTGACGTTAGAACAAACAAATAGACTGATTTCATTTTTATCGCAATGGAATGCCGTGCCAGAGAACCAAACGCAACAAAACCAAATGCACCTTTATTTCTAAAGCGTGAAAGAGCTCTTGAGATAGACCACTGGTCAGTCTGATTATAGCTTGAGACTGTGTTCTTTTAGCTACAACCGTTCCCTCAAGGGCTGACTATCTGGGAGCCTTTCACCCAAGAACTCAAAACGCCGCAGCGCCAGCACCGCCCAGATGCACTAAACCTACAGGCATCCAGGATGCTGCTAAAAGTAATATTTCACCTGAACCCCTTTCTGTAGATCAAAGTCCTTTGCTTTTGATCGGAGGAGAAGTAGATGAATAAAAGAAATAGAAGAGGAAGCTTAGGATAAGGAAAGAGTGTCGCCACATTAACATTGACTATTCATCTCTATATTTTTTAGTAGGACATGCATTCTCATTAACTTTTAGCTCTATTTCCATATGAGAAATAGTAGAAATTTTCCAACTGAGTTATGATTGAATCTTAAAACGGATATGTTTAGTGCTAAAATTAAAAATATGCAGCAATAGCTCAGCAGCTCAGGTACTGGCCCTATATAGAGCCAAACTTTAACTTTTACAATGAAGTAACTGACATCTAGCAGCAAACTATTAGCCGAAATTTCATTGAAGAACAAATAAGGAAAATATATTTATCCGTTTACAGCCCACTTTAATGAATTAAGTGGCGACAAAATAAGCTCAAAATAGTATAAACAAAACTCAAACCAAATCATAAAATTGAATAAGAAAGGAAGGTGAGGAAGGATATAGGAATGGATAACAGAAACAAAAAAGCATTTCACTCTAATTCTTCAGACACTAGAGCGTACAGTGCTAGGCATAACAAGATTTAGGAACGAGTCTTACCTATCGAGACGACAGAAAACAATAACTATTTTCCGTGGTAAATTAAGACGTCTAGCTCTTGCCACCAAATGCAAAAGGGCACTTCAACCCACTCCACGTTGCCGCTTGACTGACTATAAAGATTCTTACAAATTTGTCGGATGAGCTTAAAAGATAGCTTGAAACTGACCAACCAGATTGAAAGCCGGAATATTGCGCAATGATTGTCTACCTCTACACATGCACTTACTCTATCACTTGCAATCATCGTCAAAACGCGACAACTTATGAACACGATTTTTGCAGTTACACGCGCCTTTTGGTCGTAGATTTGTCTTAAATGTGTCGACCACAGTAAAGGTGGCCCTCCAATGAAACCTGGAACCGACCACCCATCATTTCAGATTTAGCTGTTTCTGGATGCAGCCCGAGTTCTGCTAAATATACTTTACTTTAGAAGTATAGAAATGCAAGAAATGCATTTTTACAAAATTGTAAGATGTTTGAGTGACCATATATACGGGCCTACTCATACATGATGGGTGCTGATGGGTTTCTCAGAGAGGCCCAATGGCCACAAATTTTGTGAAAATGGATTTATTGCGTTGTTAAACTTCCAACTTGCA